TCCCTTGGAGGGTGGCTTTGAGGCTAGTGGCTGAAGCTCAGACTCACTGAAATCTGAACTTGGTCTAGCATCAAGGTTCCACGCAACCTTTTAATTTACTATATTTTAGACGAAGGCGATTGCTTGGGCCAATGAATTTTAGAATCAGATGAACGTGGCCCCAAATGCTACATCAAATGGTTTGTTATATTCTAGCCAAAAAAAACATTCTTAGGGCTTTGCTCTGTATTGCTTCAAAGATTTAAAAAATCTTCTTGGAAGGGAATTTTAAAACCCTTCTAAGTTGTTCTTGCCAACTATAGTCCTGCATTCATGTTTTGCATTAACTTAATTTACTCCAGACTTCTCTTAGTACAATGCTGTGTTCTCTTTTTAATTTTGACTCACTAAAGTGCCCTGTACTTTCTTATAGGTGTAAATCAAATTGTGGAGATGAGGCCACATTGGAGAACTATCTATATGAATTTATAGTTTATATTTTGGTTGATGTCTGGTTCGGCTCTTTATCTTCAGCCACAGAATACCACTGTGCCCTCTTGGCTAACGGTCATGTGGGGGAGGGGAGGTTACTCTGCTCTTCTCCTCCTCCTATGTCCTCCTTTCTTTTTCTTCTCCCTTCCTCTCATTCCTGCCTTCCTCTCTTTCATTTTTTACTTCCACCTCTTCCCTCCCCTCTCCCTGCCTTTGTGGTGCAATTTTCTAGAACAGAGGCTCAGAGAGTGGAAATGTGGGGACAAGCAACCCTCCCATGACTAGGATCTGAAGGTGGGTGAAGTGTTGCTGCCCCAAACCTCTCCAATGTTGATCTGACACATGGCCACATTGACCCCTGAGCTAGGGCCCAGAAATGTCCCTCGTGGAGTCTTTGGGTCGTGGTGACAGGTCTTTTCTTAGAAAACTCCTACAAATATGTTGCTAGTCTAAGATTAACTTCCTACTACCTGTCAGCATTTCCTCCTGAATCTGACAAACCAGCCAAAAGAAGAGGCCAAATGCAGGTGGTGAATGGAGCTTCAGGGAAGGTTTCTGGCCTGAGATGCTTCTGGGACAGCCCTCCTAGACTTTCAAAGGGGAAAACAGAACCCACAGGGCTAGGCACGAGGGGAAGTCTAAAACCAAGTTTTGTGCAATTTTGCCTTGAACTGGTCCTTCACTTTGTAACTCACCTTTTGTCTAGGAGAACGTTGAGGTGATTGGTTGGAAGAAGCCTTAGGATTTTCTGTAGATTGAATCTGCCCTAAGCCCAGTTAACCAGAGAGGTGGATAGTGGTAAGTAACATGGAACCGATTGTTGGCTTCTTGGCTTTGATGGAAGAAGGTGCCAGCCTGCTTTTTCAACCGAGGGAGAAACTCCAAATCATGGGCAGTAAGAGCATCCCTGAAACAATATTGAGCTTTGTTTACCTTGTAATTTATATGTGGTTCATATAGTATTGCCTCACCTATGCATCTACGAGCTTATTTATGGATAGAGAAGAGGATGGTGTTACTCAGAGAAATACCTGCCTGATAGCAGTGTTGTAAGATTCAATGAGAGAATACACATTAAGAACCTAAACAGGCTAGACTCATAGAAGGATTTCAATAGTTGCTTATTCTTTCATTTAACAAATATCATTTGGAATGTACTAGGGGCCAGGACTGTGCTTGATGCTGGGAGACACTGGGATACACAGCAGGCAAACTCCCTGTCACCTTGGACCTTTTCATCATTATTTTTTATACTCTTTGGGTCATGGTGACAGGTCTTAAGGCAGAAACAACGAGGAATAGAGGAGAAGTAAAATACTCCAGAAGCTTCAAAGGACCTGGACCAAAACAAAGAACAGAATTAAAATATTTGTAAAGCCTTATAGTATTTCCAAGAGTGAGAAAAGGGCTGCCAATGTTGGGATTTGGGTTTTGAATTTGGCAGGTTTCACTGACAGCTGGATTGAAATGAGAAGGGTGATGCCAGATTGAGTAAATCACAATTTGAAACAATGTACCTGTATTTAAGTCTAACTCTTTGTTTTCACTTCTGGAGTGTAACTGCCTCTTGTGAGGCTCCCTGGACAGCCCCTGTGGCCCTAGGGGCCAGTGTCAATGTCACCTACATTATACTGGCCAGAGATGCCAGCACTGTGTTCCAGCTCCTACAGCTAAGCTATCTGCCTGCATGAGTGCCTTCCTCTCTGCATTCACTTTCCTTTAGGGCAGAAATTGCAGAAATAGCCTGTATTAGGTTCTTCAGAAAAACAGAACCAATAGGATGTGTGTGTGTGTGTGTGTGTGTGTGTGTGTGTGTGTGTGTGTGTAAGTAAAGAGAGAGAGAGAGATTTATTTTAAGGAATTGGCTCATGTGATGTGGGGGCTGGCAAGTCCAAAATCTACAGCATAGGCCCACAGGCTGGAGACCCAGGGCAGAGCTGATGTTGCCACTTGAGTCCCAGGGCAGTCTGGAGGCAGAATGCTTTCTTCCTGGAGACCTCATGACGCTCACCCATAGTGTGAAGAGTAATCTGCTTTACTCACGGTCGACTAACTTGAATGTTAATAACATTTAAAAACCAGATCGCTTTGTGAGTTATGTGGCTCTCTGATCACTATGCTGTACGACCGAAACTGCTATATTATTGTAAGCCAACTATAATTGAAGAAAAAACTCATTGAATTGTACAATATAAATATGAGCAACTAATTGCCTATTAAATTTCAATAAAGCCAGGAAAAAAATTAAAAAATAAAAAACACCTTCACAACATCTAGATTGATGATGACCAAATATCTGAACCCCATAACCTAACCAAGTTGACACATAAAATTAACCATCACAGAGCCCAAAGACCATTTCTTCAGTCATCGGTAGGGACTTGAACTCTGCAGACAGGTCTGAGGGGAACACAGGGCCATGAAAGAACACTGCCCAGTCAGCAGCAGGAGATCTGAGTCCCTGTCCTGCTGTCTGCCAAGAGCTGGCTGAGTGGCAATAGGCACGTTTCTTCATCACTCTTAGAGTTTTTTGTTGGGGTTTGGGGCATCGTAAGTGGGGTTGTTTCATACTACCTCCATAAATTCGCTAGTACCTTTCTTGGATTTTTAGTTCTCTGATGTCAGGGAATGTGTTTTTCCTATTTATCTCCACCCCAAACCTAGTCACAGTTCCACTGAATGCAGGAAGCCTTTAATCAAAGTCTGCTGGATGGATGAATATAAAATAGGGAGGTGTGGTGGTAAACTCTCTGGGTCTGCCACCTCCTAACTTTGCCCTCTGGACAAGTCACATAGCCCATCAAAGACCCAGGCAATCTGTAAATAAGAAAACTAGCTAAGTTCCCGTCTATTCGTGAAGGTTTATGATTTCAATGACAACTCGGGTAAATGCTACCATTATCGTTATTCTGAAAAGCACTGTCAGAGTAACTTGCCACACCTGGGTCTGGGCAGAGTCCTGTCAAAGAGAATGAAAATGGCATGGTTTCGTCCACGTGGGAGCTCTGCGCTCCAAGGCTTAGTGGTGTGGAGCTTTCTAGATCCTAAGGACACCTGCAAATAAATCACTAGAATTGCCACTTTTTTACCTCATGAGTCTTTTCTTTCCCAAGACCTCAACAAATGTGTGGAATTTTTAAAACCTTGCAAACAAGGTCGTATATATATATATTTTTACTGCATACACTGAGTATAAATTTGGAAGTCAAGAATACTAACCTGTCGATTCCCATTAATGCAGCGTGAGGCTGTGTGTGGAGCACCTCCCCAAGCACCAGGCACTTGGGTGATCACAATAATAATGTAAACAAGTGTGAACACTTACTGAGCACTTTCTCTATGTCAAGCATCGTGCTCAATGCTTTTCATACCTTGTCATTGGTGATTCTCTAATGACTTCATCAGGTAGAGACTATCATCAGCTCTAGTTTACAGAAGAGGAAACTGAAGCTTAGGGAGGCTAAGCCACTTGCCTATGATTGCACAGCTAAGCGGCAGAGCTGGTGCTTGAATCCAGATATGTCTGCCACAGAGACTGAAGCCCTTCACTACAGACTAATTCATGACCTTGGAAATGTCACTTAACTTCTGAACTTCATTATGTAACAGTGGAACCCAAGGAGACTATCTCTCCCGTTCCTTTCGGTTCTTAAAGTGGGAAACCGTCCAGCTCAGAAAATCAGTGGCCCATCTCCACTGCTCACCATTCCCCACGAGCAGGGTCCTTGCAGTGCAAATGGGAACATTACTGAGTAACTGCAGACCTGCAGGAGGTTAGCCAAATAGTAACTGGTAGGAACCTGACCCAAGGGGAAGGGAACAGAGAGGAGAATGGCCAGGATCTGTTTTCTTTATCCATGCATGTTTAATTCCCCTACTTGAGTGGGAAAAAGGAAAGTGGGGTGCTTTTCCTATTCATTTCTAACCCCGCCTGCATAACTTTTTTCATGATGATTCAACTATAACAGAACTTGAGAGATCAGGTATGAAGAGATGTGAACAGTGGGAAAAAGGGGGACAGTTGGAGAGTCATCTGGACTGGAATAGTTTGCACTTGATCCCCAGTGGGATGTGGAGTTGATGTGGCCCCTCCAATGAGTCGCATCCCCCATTGGTTGTTCCCTCCGTCCATCCTCTTCTGACGAGCACCAGTTACTGGATGCAAGAAGCGTTCCCAAAGCCCTCGTTCATGACCAGCCAGTCTTGTTGAATGTGGAATTAACAACAGCAACAAAACGAAACAAACGTACAAGCTTCATCGAGTCCTCACTATGAAACAGGCATTGTCCCCAGTCTCATATTTAATCTTATTTAATCCTGGCAACAAGCTTATCAAGGAGATGCTAGTATTACATCCATTTAAGGAAGGGGAAACAAGCTTAGGGCATTTGGTCGACTTGTTTCAGGTTCCAGGTCTAATGAGAGGTGGAGCTGGAATTTGCACTTGGGTCTTTCCAGCCCTGCCCCTGTGCCCTTATCGTGGTCCCGTATCCTGCTGCCCTGTGTCTGACTGAGGTCTTTTCATTCAGCCTGCCAGTGTTCAGCCCTTGGCTCCTACCAGACACCCTGCAGCCCAGTGACTGGACAGTGTGAATGCCGGCCAGGGATTACAGGACAGCGGTGTGACAGGTGCCTCTCAGGAGCCTACGATTTCCCCCACTGCCAAGGTAGGGAAGAGGTCAGGATGCCAGGGGGTGGGGGGAATGGAGGAGGTTCCTCTGTGAACTGTGTGTAGCCAGCCTCTCAGAGCAGCCTGCAACCGCCCACAGATCAATCATTGTTTGACCCTACATTTTTGACCCTAATCTGCCTGGTTCCTTCCCAACTTAAGTGCTCAGAGGAATGCAGAAATGATTTATTCCTAGAATTAAAAAAAAAAAAATTCCCATGTGTTACAAATTAGTGTTTCTTGATTTTCATGTATATTTTCTATAGCAGTGGGAAGAGCAGTGTGGCAAAGGTGACCGCTTTTAGCTAAGTCCAATGTTCCTGGTTCCCTCGTCCCAAGGCATCCTAGTTTCTCTCTGGGTCTGGGCTGCGTCATTGATGTTGGCCTCTCCGTAATCCCCAGAGGATGTTCCAATAGGTCTTTTTTTGGGCAAATTGAGCAGGACCTTTGCTGGGTTTCTGTCCTGCTCTTCTTGCTTGCCACCTGCCTCCTGGGAGATTATGTCATCACACATCAGCATAGGTATGAGGGGCAAGGGAGTGGGGTGAACCAGAGTCTTTGGTTTGGAAAGAATGAGCCAAGGAGGAAACACTGTCTTGAGCTGATGGTACTAATCCTTCCCCTGATACAAGAAATCGAGTCTGCATGCTCTGTGGCCAGGGTCATGGACATATGATGTGCTCCAGGTGAGTGCAGCCTCTAGTGGTGATTAGCTCTTGACTATAACTTGCAGAGGACTCTTTCTCTGTTAAGAAGAGGTGTTTGTGAAAGGCTGAACCTTACTCAAGAATCCTCAAGGCACCAGGTTTTCTTGCTGGCGGAAATTGGAGCCAGCAGTCAGAGGGGGCTACTCGCCTTGAGAAGGGCTGAAGGTCCTCAGAGTACAAGGCTGTCTGGAGTGGGATCTGCTCGCCTCTACAGGTCAAGAGAGGAAGAGAGTGTTGTGGGAGGTACTGTGGCAGTGGGAAGAGGGGTGAGGCAGTCATGACAGTTTCTCCACAGCTAGATGGCATCACTGATCAGCCTGGAGAGGAGCCAAAGCCTGGGCGGGGCCAGTTTGGAAAAGAGCAAATAATAGGAAGGTTGTTTTGACTATCACAGAAGAGAACAAAGAAACATCAAAACACAAACAAAAAATGAAAACAGAGAGAGATAGAGAATGAGAATGAATATGTATATCATCAAGGAAGAAGCTGAAATAGACCAAAAGGAGACAATAAAGGCAAAAAGGCTGAGGAATAACTTGTAAGAAAACGAGATCATAATATGAGTTTATTTAAATTTTTGGAAAAACCAGGCTCAGTGGTCTTACCCAGCCTCTCTTCATTTCTAATGCTGTATAATAGTAATACTGAGACATTGCAAGATCCCAACTTATTGAAGAGAGATTATATTGGGCTTATCATACTATATTGACTACGACAGGAAAGCAAATTAATTAATTTTAGAAATTTTAGTACAGGTGAGGAACAAAGGAGTTGTGATATTTAGAGAATTAAGTCTTGGTTAATTAAAAAAATGTACTTATAAATTCTTTAACTTCTTTTTAATGCAACAATTATGAAAACTCTTGATACAAGATTGCCCTCTTCTGGACAGTCCTAAGGATGCTAAAAATTTGAGAGTCCTTTCCCCAGTCTTCATCATCAGTTAGAAATGACCTTTTAATAGTAGAGGACTACAATTGTTCAGGGGCTAAAGGGGTATTGAGGACCATAGACATTACTTGGGGTACCTTTTTGTGAATTACATGCCATATCTCTGCCACTCATCTATCAAAAAATATCAATGTAGATGCACTATTTTTAAAAACAAGTATAACTTTTAAAATTAGAAACATCAAAACAAATGAAGAGACAAATAAATAAACATTAAAACTCCAGACATTTGAATTATTTCTGAATCATATGCAGGCTCTAGCAGTTCCTGTGACCTGTCTGGTACCCTGGACTCCAGTTTGGTAAGTGAAGAATTATAAAAAGGTTAACGTTCTAACTATTATTGTGATACATTTTAAAGACTAACACATTTGGGAACTTCCTGAAATTAAAAATAAATTAAAATAAGATCTGAGGACAAATTGCTTAAAGAGGTCATTGCTTGTTTTCAAAATGCGTATGTGATATTGTGATTTTTTTTTTCCAAAACAAAAGAACAAAATTGTTTTTTTTTTTTTTTCAAAAACAAAAGTTTATTTAAACCTTGAATTCTAGAGTCCTAGAGTTTAACTCTTATTGTTTGTTATTCTGAGGACACAGCCACCCTGGAGCCTTGCACATAAGCCTGACATACATAATTAAAATTAAGAAAATCAAAGGCCAAATTCACATTAAATAAAGCTCTCTGCATACAAAGCAATTGCAATTTATTAGATATTACTCCAAGCATAATACTACGGTATTCTAATCAGTTTTCTAAGCACTTTAGAAATTATGTCGTCTTAGCCTCAGAGCCTGGAGATGCTGGATCTTCAGGCACTGGAGGGACATGGGAGAAAGGTTCTGCATCCCTGCCGTGAGTCTCGGTGATGTTTAAGCAAGGTCTGATTCTTGCATAACACAAAACACCTTCAGATAAATGTAATTTTCTATTGATTCTCATCATGTTAAATATTCAGCTCTTTTTTCCATTTAAATTTGTAGTCCAGGCTGTAACCGAATCAAAAATGACAATGTTATAAATCAGAGTGATTTTTTCATTTTTCTTTTTCTGTATTTTCCAATTGTGTTTTAACCAGAAATATGGATTATGCGTATAACAAATAAATCAATAATAAAATGAAAGCAATAAGCAGACTGTTGAAATCAACCCAGTACTTTTATTCCCCCTGAATACCCTTAATTTACTTTTCATGATTCAAAATATATTTCTGTGACAAGCTTTGTTCAGAACACATGTTTGAAAAAATATCTTAATTCCAAGATGTCAAATGTTAGTTTGATTTTCTTTATAAGGGATATTGCCAGTGCAAACTTCAAGTTGAAAGTCCTACCTGCAGCATCTGCAAGCCATTATATTGGAATCTGACCAAAGAAAACCCCAATGGGTGTTCAGGTAAAGTTTCTTATACACAATAATTTACTATATCGTAGCTTCTTATTAATTTCTCTTACCTCAGTAACTAAACTCACAAGAGAGCTATTTATTTGATCAGTTCAGTTTGTCTGAAAATTTATGTAAATGTTTTGATATTTCCTCACTTTTGGCAGAACTGTCATTTTCAAAATCTCAGCAAGAGATTTATGTCCTGTTTCCGTATGTATTGTGTTGTTTGTGAAGGCAACTACTTGATAAATGGTTTTTACTGCCTTGTTTTTATAATCTACTCTTTCTGATTTAATTTTATTTTCATTTTATGCATAGATTGAAGGCAGGATAGTACTCAAAAATGCCAAGGTAAAGGTGGCTAAGTGGAGTGAATATCCTTAAATAAGAGTATATTTTCATATAAGCATATCAGAAATGACCTTGACATTAGAATCATTTAAAAATCCCATGATGTTGCAGCTTTTGTCTTAGAGTGATCATAAACTTGTCATTACTCCTCGTAGGTAGATGGTACTGATCTGGCTGTTCTGCTGACTACAGAAAGCAATCTAATTTTAGGCTTTGCAACAGTGCAAAATGGAATTCTGCTGAAGCATGCTAGGATGTGACTGCACGTGTAATATTGCTGGTGTGTGATGTTCCCAGCGCCAGGGAACTGTCCTTTGTGTAATCTTGGTCCAAGGATGCTCTCTTATCTTCACAGAATGCCAGTGCAATGTGGCGGGAACAGTGAGCGGAATTGGGGAGTGTGGGCAGGTAACGTGAGCCAATATATCATATACCTGTAGAATGTTGCAGCAATTGACTGTGGAGTTTCTATGGGAGGGTATTATTACTGCCTCTGTAATTGTACAGTGCGTGGTAATCTTTTTGGAAGTTTTCAGATCCTGGCTGCACTGTTTTATATTACATAATAAGCCAGTTTTACACTTGATCTTAGCCAAAAGGTAAAAAGGAATACAATAAGCCAGTTTTAAATCTTGAAGCTTAGTGAATTCTGTAATCTTAATCCAATTTTGTCACCTGGCTTGTCGTTCTGCAGAGAGATGGTGACTGTCATTGCAAGTCCCATGTCAGTGGTGATTCCTGTGACACATGCGAAGATGGATATTTTGCTTTGGAAAAGAGCAATTACTTTGGGTGTCAAGGTAAATACTTCCAGGGGGCCTTGAGTAAAGTGAAAGTGTTGATGGGCAAAGCCTATCAGGATAAGCTTTCTTCTGAGTTCATTTTCTTCGTGCAGACTTTCTGATGGGATGGGACTGAAATATTTTGTTCAGAGAATTGGGACAAATATTCTGCTAAAGCTAGTAATAAATTGCAAATTGGGCTGCTTCTACTTCTCTTATGCACACTGTTGGTTTAATTATAAAAATACATAATTGGGATGGGGGAGTTATTATAAATAACATCAAGGCTTTGTAACTTTAAAGGTATATTTTGTAGTATCAAAAATTCACACGGAGTTTTAGAGATAATATTGTATTAAATAATAAAACTGCAGGGACGGCTGCCCCACAAGGCTACTTTGCATCTCTCACAACCTCTCCTTAGCACTCATTGTTTATAACAGTATCATGTTGCTAAATCATTTTTAGCTCCTGTGCTACTGTCCCCTTACCTTGGACAACATTGCTGGAGCTGGCCTACAAGTACACCTCCGACTTACAAGTGCACTTTTTGGGAGACATGCTATCTTGGTTTGGGAGGTCTGTACATATTTCAAGATGTGGCAGGGAAAAGAAGGCACGATGATCAACCCAGGGCTTGCTGATTCCCGCTTCTTCTAGAGGCAGAGAAAGCATCCCACGTGGAGATGCTTTGATGGGTGACCACTGCTGTTTCTTGACTTTCAGGCTGTCAGTGTGACATTGGTGGAGCGATCACCCCCATGTGCAGTAGTCCCTCAGGAGTATGCCAGTGCCGAGAGCATGTCGTGGGGAAGGCGTGTCAGCGGTGAGTCTTCAGGCAGGTTTCTTCCCACAGAAATGTTGTGGAAGATACTCTCATGGAGTCCTGTCTGTGCTGACAGTTCTGGTGAGGAGAGAAGCAGTCCTAAGGCGATAAGGCGGATGGAGCTGTACTGTCATTTAAAATCTGGACACTTGTCAGTGAGTCCAATTAAAACAGGAGATAGGGTTACCTATAAAAACTGTTCCACTTTGTAGGTCATGGAGTGACCTACTGGAAAATTCCCACAGATACATAAAGCCAGGTGGGTGAGACTAGAGCCAGATGCATGAGATGGGTTCCCATGACTGAACCTCCATGAAAAAGTTACAGCATGGAGTAGCCTGGCGGGCTCCTGGACCAAGGAGATTCAGGTCCTCTTTCTCCCTTGGGACCCATGAGTGAGGGCCTGAAGATGCCAAGTGTGGTATACACAGCAGAATTGGCGGCGGGAGGCAGGGGGCGGGGATAGATAAGAAAACTTTATAAGTGGAACAAAGTTCTTCATCTCACACAGAAGCAAATTAAAATGAACTGTAGGAACAAGGGAGCAAAGTAGAGACTGAGAGCCAAGAGGGGCTATAGCAAATATGGCACCACACTGTCTCTTCATCCTGTCATGCTTAGCAATTTATATATATATATGTATATATGTGTGTATATATATATATATGTGTGTGTATATATATATAAACATATAAATTTATATATATTATTTTTGAAATCACAATCCATCCATAATTTTCCCTCAGTGGAAGACAGAAAAAACTAGTTTTTAATATTCTGACTTTTAATCATACACCGGAAACTCTACTAAATGCCGCTTCTTCTGAACTTCAAGTACCTTCACTATTTCTGCATTATCAACGGATTAACAAAGAACTTATGTAGTTAAGCTAAATTGTCCATATTTAGTTTGGTGCTTCTCTCCTTTCTCTCCATGTTTCCAGCATTTAAATTCTAAAAGTCAGAGCAGCCCAGCTGTGCTTTCTTCAGGCATTTCTAAGTGGCAGTCACTGCTGGGCCGTGTAGTAAGAATTATGTGAAGGCAGACACATTTGTACACTTGATTTCCTGCAGAGACATTGTCTACCAATGTTTTATCTCTTTCTACCCTTGGGTTGATAAAGTGAGCTTTTCTCCTACTTACCCACCATAAGTTTTTTCTCCTTCCAGCTATGTAGGCGATTGACTAATTTGGAGGTTGAAATAATGCAAGTGAATAGAAATTAAATTGCCCATCCTGAGGCAAATATATTGACAGTTTACATTACAGCCAATACATATGTATGAAATTTAGAACATGTCTTTTGATTTAGCGATAAATGGTAACAGAAATAAAAGGAACATGAATACCATAGCACCTTTTCTCTAGGTTGGTAAATTTTGCATCCTTATGTCCTAAATGCCTCCCCAATGTTTATGATTTTATCTGAGCGTTTTAAATTTTTCTTACAAGTTTAGAAAGCATTCGCATTCACTTTCTTTTCTAAATAACTTTGTGATAATAAATATAATGATGTTCATTGTAAAATTTTTGTATGTAAAAGTAAAAAGACAAAGAATAGTCTTCATCCAAGCACCCAGAGAAAATCCCTTTTAATATATTTTGTATATTTTTTCTAGGCTTTGTTTATTAATAAAAATCAGTATTATATTTTTCATATAATTTGTATCAATTTTTCACATATTATAAACATTTCCATTATCATTTGTCTTCAAAAACAATGGTTACATAACACTTCATAATTTAACGCATTTCCTGTTTAGAAAAAAAGTACAGCTCACTGCCAGTGTTAATGTAATTTTACATAAATGCACTCTTTGAGGCTGAAGCAAATCTGACTGGTTTTCAATGTGAAATAAAATATAAAAACTATTCTTAGAATTATTTCTAAACAGAACTTGTCTCTAATCCTAATGTAACAGAAATATGTACATAAATCGGATTCATCAAATGAATCTTTGACTAACATCCGGTCGAGAACGATGTTAACAACACGGATAGGAATGCCACGTTTCCTAGGATTTGACATTTTCAGTGATCAAGAATTACTTTATTTTGTAAATGGAAATACCTCTACTAAAAACTGAATGCTATAAATAGAATGATGTCACTTGTTTCCAAAGACTATCCATATACTAGAGAGACGTGAAAATAATAATAAAAGCGAGATATTTTGTGGCAAGCTTTGGGGGTGAGGTTGGGACTGTAATCCGCGAGTTATCTCAGGGTAAGCGCTGCAGGCGCAAGTGCTGCCGGCGTGTATTCTCAAGGCAAAAGGGAAATGGGTTAATTATTTAATAATTTTTGCACATGTTTGTACAAAAACAACATTTATGTTTCCAAGTTTTCACTAATATAAACCTTCTTTTATGTTAATTACTTGACACTATATGTAAAATCATTCTTTAGAATATATTCCTGGAAGTAGAATTACTGGGTCAGTGAGTATGAACATTTTTAAAGATCTTTGCAATTACTTCCAGAAAAATTGCAATATAGGAGCATGCCCTTTTATTTGCTTTTACTAAGTCATCTTTATGGCTTTATATCCACTATCTGTTATTAGTTTGTGACTCAATTGTCCATATGTGCCATTTTGAAAAACTTCAGGTAGTTGAATATAAAATGTCACGCAAATGTCGGAATATTTTTGATCCTTCTCTGTGATGCTGTTATTGGACTCTTGAAAATAATCCATTTATAGACATATAGTTTAAGACAAAACAAGGCATAGAAAAGTTATTCTAATGATATATATATATGTATCTAATTTGTAAACTTAGCATATGAAATAGTTTATGTCATGTTCACTATTATATCAATGGTGCTTAGCAACAGTTCCTGGTACATAGGTATTAATATTTGTGTAATGAGTGAATATTATTACATAAATAAATGAATGAATGAATTTATAGCAAATAACCTAATTTGACTTTGCAACAATTTAGAATATTTTATTTTAAAGGATGCTACTGCTATGGGTCATGTTAAATGATTTTCTCATTTTACTGCTTGGAATGAGTAAGTGTTGGGTGTTTTATGCGAATGTTTACATGAGTGAAAGCAATCATTTAGAGAAGAAATCAAGGGGCTCCTCTCACTTGTCCTTATTTAATGTACTGTCAATTTGGTGGAACTTCTTTTAGCAGTAGCTATTGTGATTAAAGGATATTTAGATGATCAATTAACCCAACTTGCTGTATCAATATTTACTTTTTATTTATAAAAGACCGGAAAGTAACTACTATTTCCCGGATTTGCATCATATGAAGTATGAGATTGAAGATGGCACTACACCTAACGGAAGAGAACTTCGGTTTGGATATGATCCCCTGGAGTTTCCTGAGTTTAGCTGGAGAGGATATGCTCAGATGACCTCCATACAGGTATGTAGCCAGTAGTAAGCAGCTTCATGGCAGAGTAGCCCGTGTACTTACCCACAGCACACTCATTGAGTCCTTCTAAAAGGTGAACTGTCCCCAAAACTGATTCTAGGATTCTTTTTCTCTAGAATATGAATTGGGCCTTGGGTAGGGTTGGATTGGAGCTGATAAGCACCTATATCAATTTCACAGTTTATTGTTACTTTAATTTGGTCACCAAATCAGAAAATGAAGGGATTAAAGAAAAACAGTGCTTATCTCTGGAGACTTTTTATAAGAAATTTCCCAAACAAGATTAGGCTCTATTTTAT